TCATGGTGACATAAAATGACATTAAAATCAGCAATGGACCACTCTGTGCTCTCTGATTGGCTCTGTACTACACTACCTGCATCCACTTATATTTATTCAGTTAAGCATAGCTCAGACTTGCTGTAGTGCTGAAGACTTGATAGCTTTTCTTATGCTGCTGATGGTGTAGAGGACTTGCAGCTAATCTAACTTTGCTGTTGCCTTTTTCCACTGTTCCCTTCCTCTCTCTGTGGACCTTTGTCTCTCTGCTTCCTCTCTAGTTGTATAATACTTGGTATTCTGAATATTCTGCCTCAGTTATTGCTCCATTGCTTCACAAGAGACCTATTCAGAGACTGAGGAGAGCCCAGGTGGACTGATATAAAGTTCTCCCCCCTCCTTTGTTTTCGTTGGGAGTGTCAGCTTGTTAAACTTTGATGATGGTTCTACCCAATTGCTGTGAGCCTTGCCCTTGACTCCTCTCTTTATTTGTGTCCTGAAATGCCATGCTACATAGTGAGACACTTTAGCCATATTAAATGTGTACCCAGGACGGCACAATTAAGGAAAATATATAAACATAAGAATAAATCACATATTTTATACCGTGTATAAGGCTTTTTTAAAAATTATCCATGCTAGTGGCATGGCTCTAGAGATGCCAGTGTCATGTCCTGTTCATGGCTGGCCTGTTTAAACACACATATTCCACAGCTACTGTTACAACATAAATCTAATAGTCACTAGGATTGGATGGGCACTATTTAACCTCCAGGAAGCTCCTACACTGGCTGGTTACAAGGCCAAATTGACCATTAAGTCAATAAAAGACACTTCAGCCACATTCCAACAACTGCTCCGAGAGCACAGATATGGTCTATGGAGTAATGACTGGCTACCCTTTGAGACTTGAAAGTGTTTAAAACATTCTGAACCCTCAGTGGAAACCACTGATAGACATCCTGATCACTGAAGTGTAAAGAAACCAGATACAAGAGCCTGCTACTCCTGCTGGGACCCGGGGAGGACTGTGCCGGAGCTTTTTGTTACAGTTATATGCTTTCTGCCAGTAGGTTCCTCCTCAGCACTTCCTTTCACTCTGGCTGGAACAGTGGATTTTCCATTTAGTGGGGGAAAAAATACACCCTTCAGTCGACACTGTAAGCTTTTATTTTTGCAATGTTCTGTGTATTCTGGGATTTGCAGAAGGTTAAGATGAAGTGTTGTAATTTACTTTTTGGTGTAGCCAGTTTTCTTCCACTTGTCCTCTATGATGTAAACAAGTTGAGGTGATTTCTTGCTGTTCCAATGAGTTTAAGTTTAGCAAGCAGGTTCTTGTTGTTTTCAGTCAAAGGAAGATTAATGGGAATAGAAACACAGCCTTCTAGCACAGTCTGGGTTTTTTAAGTTTGCAAAAATATAATATCTTGTGGCTGCTTTGTAAGATGAGGCATTGTTCCTACTGTAGTGGGAAAACCTGTGTATTTTACTGTTATAAAACCCTTTAAATAATACAATAAAAAAACTGTACTGTTACATAATACACCAACAAACAACAAGGCTGGAACAGAATAATGCAATGTGCAGAACAGCTTTTTGTGTAGCTGTATATTATAATAAGTAATGCTAATGGCCAAAACTATGACAAATACTTTAGTTTTCAAAGGGAAGTTGTATTTACTTACAACTCCAAATCAAAAAAGTTGGGACGGAATGTAAAATCTAAATTAAAACTGACAATAGTGATGTATAAATCATCTGTGTCCTGTATTACATTGAAAACAACACAGCAGCACATTATTTGATATGATACCTCATGAAATTTATTCTTTGTTCAAAATAAACACTCAGTTCCGATGCCTGCAACACATTCCAAAAAAGTTTAGATGGTTGCATTTCAGGGCCAGTAACAAGGTAAAACAATGAAATGAAGGTTGCATTTGAAACAGGTGATATCACCAGGTGACTGCATCATGATTTGGTACAAACGTGGCATCGAGATGGGCCGAGGACCACCAGTTTGCCAACATATGTGGGAGAAAATTACTGAAATGTTTAAAAACATTGTTGCTCAAAGAAAGATAGTAAGGGATTTGGACACGTCACCCTCTACGGTGCAGAACATCATTAAAAGATTCAAGGAATCTGGCGGGATTTCAGTTTGTAAAGGGCAAAGAGCCAAGCCTAAGCTGGATGACCGTGCTCTCTGATCCCTCAGATGGCGCTGCATCAAGAATCGTCATTCTTCTATAAGCGACATAAGCACATGGGCTCAGGGTTACTTTGGCACACCTGTGTCAGGCACTACAATACGTAGTTACATTCATAAATGCTGCTTAAAACCATATTGTGTCAGAAGGAAGCCCTATGTCAACAGTGTCCAGAGGCGTAGTTGACTGCTCTGGGCTCAAAGAACTTCTGGGATCAACCATCAAACAGTGGAACCGTGTACTGTGGTCAGACAAATCAGTATTTCTGGTCTTTTCTGGAAGGAATGAACGCCATGTGCTCCGGACCAAAAACGAAAGGACCATCCAGGCTGTTACCAGCAACAATTTTTAATGTGATACAGGACACAAGATGATTTAATCATTACTATTTTTTTATTTTGATTTTATATACTGTACTGTCCCTTTTTTGCTTGTTTTGTTTTGGGGTTGTATTATTTGCTGACCTTAAATGTGTATCTCAATATCTTAAGAAGGAGCACAGAATATTAAAGGAGTGCTCTGCTGATTTAGCATTTAACTTTTTAAGTTTGGAAATTCAAAACAGGTAGATTTTAAAGATTAGTCCAAGTCAATGCATTCAAGACTGAGATATCCCAAGCTTCAAAAATGTTGGATCCTGGTTTCCATCTCAGCATGTTGTCCTTAATCCTTCCATGCCTTTCCACCGGCAGGCAACCACTTTTTGATGCAGGCCTTCCATTATAACTTTGTCATCAAACCTAAACTGAATCTTCACTAGGGTTATTTTTCAGACTTGTCGAAGCTCCTCCAGCAGTACGGCAGACATTATACAGTAGGTGGAGTAATAAACACCATGACACCTTCATGTATAAAAATCAGTTGTTTCTTTATATTACTGAAACAATTGCTCTTTCACTTTCCTTTGCTCACTCTTTTAACTGTAATGCCGATCAAACACCAGCTTGATATGATGCACCCTGACAGATGATGGTTGGGTGTGTCACACTGGAAGACAATCGGCAAAGAACTGGGAATGCTTTGTGATGCCCTGGCAAAATGACTAGTGTGTCGGATTTGTGTTGCCCTCTCCTGCCTAGCTTGACAAGTTCAATTATGTTGATCTATATACACAGTGATCCTCAGTACACACCTATAAACATGAGAAAGAGTAGGAAGATAGAGGTTTTAATCTCAGTAAACCGCAAAATAAAATAAGTTAACTGTATGGTCAACATGCAGCCGATTGCACACTTACAGTATGTATACTGCTCACCCACACAGTCACCCTCTTTCTGCTGACTGTGAGCCAGGCTCACTGCTGAGTGGTTCAGTGGTTCCATGTTTTCTTTCATTCGTAAACCCAATATTTGTTAGTGTTGTCAGGCGGAACAGTAACCTTCAAGTTCACCTCATGTCATGCATGTTCTGAAAAAACAGCAAACCATGACTGATCAGGGTCCAATGTGTAGTCTGTCATGTTTCCCAGTCAAGGCATGCTGGAATTTAGGACGCCGTGATTGCCTAGACCGACACAGATGTCACCTCAAAAGACAAGAATATTGGGCACATGTGATGTTGTTTGTAGGCCTTCATTTATACACACACGACAGAGAGGGAAGCAGCTGGCAAAAAGACATCAAACCCTCTTGGGAACAACAACACAAAAATATGAACACACACACACACACACACACACACACACACACACACGTACACATTTTATGTGCACATACATATATACACAATGACACAATGACCCTTAGGTGTAGTGGTTATCCTCATTCCTATAGAGATGGGAAGCGTGCCATCTGTCATGTTACACCACTAAGGTATAACCCCCTTCACAGCATGATAAGACATCACATCAAAGAAAAAGGCCTGATTGCAGACGGTAGGCATTTTCATTGGCGTATGGACATGCAATCGCATAGTGCATGTTAAATTACAGCAAAAAAATTCAAGATGAAAGCAAAGTCCTCATCTGCCGACCTGGTATGGAATGGAGAGGGAAAGTGATTGGGTGTTCTATTATAATTTAGTCTTCTCTTCAGTCCTGCAGCTTCACTGTCACCCACAGACAAATCACACAGGTCGTTGACCGTTATGTTATGGAACATTAGTCTAAATCTACCTTATGTTGACACTTTCAATCTTAGATTTCTCTCTGTGTAGCAGATATACTTTGTAATATGGGTTATGTTTGAGGGTGGTTTTCATTTACAGGGTTTTTTCTGTGGACATTTTCCTCCTTTGTAGTCCACTGAGCCAAGGACATTGACACTGTAATTTTGCTGCAGCCAAAGAAACATTTTCATGTTCTTTTCAGACTGAGAGAGAGTGAGGTAAAGGAGGCAGAAGGGTGGCTTACTTGAATGGTCACTTCCCACTTATACCCTCATTTTATGGCAAATAGTGTATTCACAGATTTCACCAGAAGTTATTTTTTTTGATTGACTAATTTTGGTACATATACTATTTTGAATCAAACCTAATGGGATTTTAGTGAATATGTGCACCAGCACTTATCAGACAGTCTAAACTTTATGCAGGTGTTTTCTGCATCTTGGATACTTGATTAACTGGTGGCACACATGAGCTAACGTGTCTAAAACAGCCACTTTCTCTTTCTGAAAATAAAAACTGTTACAAAACCAAGATAACAGCTGGGACATCTTTTGAAGAAAAGACAGTGCAGTGGACCATCTGAATAAACAAAATGTCTGATTAGCTGCCATGCATGGATCAGCTATGAGAAACCGCTTGGTAACAGAAGACAATCTTTGTGCCTTATGTTGTTCACTTTGAAACGTGTCTTTTTATTCTCTGCAGAGTGAAGTTGAATGAAGGAGTGACGTTTCTTGGGGCCCGTCCCAGCAACCCCACTCAGTGGATAGTTAGCCAGGATGTGAGGAGCGAAGGCCACCGAGTGGTGACTCTACACTGCCGCAAGAAAGAGTCCAGCTACGATCAGCAAAGGTCAGCATATAAATGTCTTCATGCTTCTTGGGAGATTTTCTCATTGTTTCCTTTGAAGAGTGATAACAAAATCTGAATGTTTCTCTGGCGCTTCATTTACATTTAATTGAATGTTCTTTTATTTATTTTGTTTGTTTTGTTTTTGTTTTGTTGTTTACAGCGTAAAGAAATAGACATCTACACACCCTCCCATCCCTTCCCTACATGTTCAATAATGCATTAATTGGATTAATGACACAGCATTGGCATACTGTATTATCACCTTATAAAATTGTATATAATGTAGTGTTAGTGTTTGGCAAACAGTTGTATATTTCCACAGAGTATCATTAGGTATTATTAGTGTTTTGGGCTTTTGGTAATTGTAAGCTCGATACTGACTTTTATTTTAGCTCTATTTCTGGTCTCCACTGGCGTCTGAGGGAAATATAAAGCTCTTTACCTGCAAAACTCTTTACTTACAGTACTTACCTTGTCCACCTGCAGTTTAGTGCCAGCCAGTTACAGTCATGAAACAGAAAAGTGCTGCACAATTACAGGTGCACCTATAGCTCCATGTAGTGCCACAGATTGTTTGTGACACTGAGCCAAAGAGTTTCGCTTTGACTGAGTAATGGGCCAGTTTCCTAAAAAAATGATCTAATAATCCTTCACATTACCAACATTTAACAAAGTGCTGTTGTTTGTGCACATTTTGCAAGAAAATCACAAGCACTGAGATATACCAGTATGGGTGGTTATCTAAGTGGCATTCCCTCTGCCCTTAACTTGACATAAAGGCCATGAGATTTGTCTGTTTGGCACCACACCAGGGAGGGAAAAGGCTATTGCAATATCCCTTCTCTTCTCCATCTCTCTTTATATTGGCATACTTATTTTCTCCGCTGTCACATCCCCTAAGTTGTTTTGGTCATTTCCTATCTGCATTCCTGTCCTTAAACTAATCTGGCAGATAGGGAATTGATTGCCAGCACTAGGGAAAAAAAGGTTGCTGTGTTAATGAAGTGCTGATTGAAGGCCTTTGTGTATTTTAATGGGTTTCCTTCTTGAGAAAGTATAAATCTAACTTTCTAGTGACAGGTGTAATTTTATGGATTAGAGGCAGATTTTGGTTTGGGGAAAGCTCTACTTAATTTGCTCTTTAGCTTTCGTTCCACTTTCTAAACCACTCCCTTAAGAAAACAGGATACTTGACATTGCAACTGCAGCTTTATAATCATAGTTGTGCAGGGATTATTTAAGTGTAGAGCACTCTGTGAAACATGTGTAATTTGGGTCTGTTGGTGCAGTGATTTGTGTAGACATCCCGCTATTAGTGGATCACTATGAGAAATGATTGTACTGTAACTACAATGCTACAGCACATAAAACAAACTGTGCCTGCTTTTGAATGGGTGTCGCTGTAAAACCAGAAGCAGCTATAAATATTTTCTTAGGCGTCTCATGCCTGTTTTTTGTTGTTGTTGTTTTTGTGACCCTGCAGGGCTACTTTCAGACGAGAGCTCAGTTGTGCTGTGGCGGTTGCTGAAGGTTACATGCAGATCTCAGTGGCATATTTTTACATGGGCTTAATATTTTCACTTCTCAGAACATACAGTACAACTTTATTTGACTTATTAGCAGCCACTTTCAAACATGAGCTGCCCTGGGATCTTAAAGCCGCCTCTGTACTGAAACTTCTTTTCAGGCCTTCCATTCACTCTTATAATATGTTTTGACAGCTTAGTCTCATAAATAGAAAGGTTTTCGCTGCCTGCAAGTATAGAGAGACGCAAAATACAGTGTGGATAAGCTTTGTTTGTATCTGTCTCATCCACAGCTCTTTGTATTGGCGATAATTTAATGGCCAGAATGTCACTGTCAGCAGTGGAGGAAAAGGTATTCGCATTGTTTACTTACGTAACAGTAGCAAGCAATATGACAGTGTAAAAATACTCTGTTACAACTAAAAGTCCTGCATTCAAAAGGTTACTTAAGTAAAAATATTAAAGTATTAGCTCTGAAATACATTCAAAGTATCAATGGTAATAGTACACATCTCACATTAACATATATCATATTATTGGATTATGGGTGTATCTATATCTACCTAGCCACATACATGAGAGGGTCAGAATATTAGAACACCTTTGGATATAATATAGTTTAGTACAACACCACCTTTAACTATGACCTCAATAATAAACGTATAATTGAATTTACACATTTATGACAATTTCACCAAAAACTGAAACATTTTGAGCTTCATAAACACAGATATTAAGGCAGAAATGTTGCACTGAAGTGCATACAATTGTACAATTGAACCCTCGTTGGCCACTTTTAAAACGTACTTGAAGACCCATTTGTATGCTTTGGCGTTTGATATGGTGTGAGACTCAGTTCGGGTTCTGTTTTTTTTGTTTGTGGATAGTACGTTGTGCTATGTTGATTCAGTTATTCAATTTTTGTTGTTTTATGCTTTTTATTAATGTAGTTGTTTTATGTTTATATATTTTAAATGGAACTTTTATGTTAAGCACTTTGTTCGGCTCTGGCTGTGTTAAAGTGCTCTATAAATAAGGTTGAGTTGAGTTGAAGTAGCAGAAAATGAAAATACTCAAGCAAATACAGAGTTAAGTACAAAACTGTACTTAACAGTACTTGAGTAAACCTACTTTATTACTTTCCACCATTGGCTGTCAGCTAAAAATGATTTCTGTTGTCAGATTAATTGTTGCAGTGCAGTTCATAAGATTTTAAGTGTGTGATTTCAGAGTTGATTTTATATAACTTTTGCAAAACACCTGGAAGCTAAAAGCCATTTTGGCAGCAATTTATTCAATTCCCATGGAAATACAGTAATCAGAAACATATTTAAAGGTGTTTTTGTAGAATAAAATTTTGTTTTAGGACTCCCAAAACACTACTTGCCATCCTGAATACTGTATGCGAAGGGGCCAACAATGATGTTCCCATGGATCTAGTATAGTATGCCTGCAAATGGCCCTGAGCAGAGCTGCAGCATCTTGAACAAAATAAAAAGGAGCTTTCAGCAAACTGCAGCAGTGAGCAGCAACATTTGGCAGCTGGCTCCTGCTTCCCTCTGGAGCTGTTCTCCAGTTTATGCGGGTATTATTTTCTCTGCTGTGTCTTATGACCTCACCTTCTCACCCACACACACACACACACACTACCACAAGTTAGTGCAGTAGAATCATGTTTTATTGATTTATTAGGTTAAGGAGGAAGTGACAAGAGTGAGAATATTTAGTCTAATCTCTCTTGTTTGGCCCATGTACAATGGACTGCTCCTTAATCCCCACAGCTGTCAAAGTCATTTTACAGAGAAGACCAAAAACACACCGTGATGGCTATACAATACACAATGCTCCATTTTTATTTTTATTTTTTGGTCTTGTCTTTCCTACTCCCAGTTATTTCAATGAAGCTCTTTTAGAAGGGGATTAGACATAGCTATCTCATCTGCTGAGCTGTCATTCAGCCTGCTTTCTTCTCTCCACTCCTTCCTTTAGGATAGGAGGGTGACAATGTGTGAGCGGTGGAGGTCAAACAAATGTGGAACCTAGGACAACAGGATGAATATTATTATTCACTTATCCACATATGTGTTCTGCACTAACATCTAGACGTTGCTTCAGTTCTGAAGAGCTCTTCTCTCTAAAAGTGCAATGTACTATTGGACCAGTGAATACCCAGATTTTACAGTGTTTTTACTTTGTCAGAAACACTTTAAACACTGGATGCAGCCAGGTTGATCGCATGCAGTAAGGAAAGCAAAAGGGATTCTGTATTTGTGTGTGAAATTGAACTTAGGCAGTGTTTAGTTTTTACAGAATGTGAGCAAACTTCAGCAATATGTGGTATGATTTGAGACTTTGCTAAGGCATAATCTGCAAAATGTTACTTTTAAATATTTAGGCAGTTTATAGTATAAGAAAAATCACATAATAGTCAAATTTTCAGAATATTTATTGGTTTAACATGTACAGTAATGACACCAGCAAACACACACACCATCAGTAATTGTAATTGCCATAAGGCTGGATTTTCACATGAAATGAAAATAAGAACCAGAGCTCACACTGTGCTGTGGCATAAATGGATTATTGGCACTTCCACTGGACCTTGAACTGTCCTTAGACATGTAGTGTCATTAACTAATGTTTGTGGGACTGCTAACTGAAGCCTATGTGTAGGCTCTGTGTGCCATGACCAGAGCCCATCCCCACTGCCAGCCTGAGAGCGCAGTGTTACCAGTGGGTCAGGTGTACTTTGGTTCCAGGCTCAGTCACTCACTTAAAGCCGCTCGCCCTGGCCAGCTGAGCCACTCCTTTCTTCCCATTTACAGCTGATGCTCCAGCCACACCCAACTCCTGGGACTACCCATTTAAAAATGCATACAATAGACATTGTCGCCTGCTCTTCCTGTTTGCTTACACTCAGCTTTCAAATTGACATGATCCATTTTACAGCTAAATATAATGTAACTTTTTGCCAGTATTTTTCAAGAAATCACTACACAAGGCATTTTTCAGAGGTAAAGTATGACACATTTTGAACCTGCTTGTCAAACCTGCAGACATGGGAATTTTTCTGCAGTGATACAAACCTAAACACTTTGTCTTTTCCTGACTGGCGCCATCAGCCTAAAAGAAGCGTTGCCAAGGTGCCAGTTTTTCATCAAGGAGTGTTACACTTTAAAACAAAAAGTATATCAAATAATGTGCTTGTCTGTTCCAATGTAAGCCGCAAATGTTGGCATGTCTGGATAATTAACTGACTACTTAGAGTATTACAATACACTGATTTCCAAAGCCAGGGGTCATAACCTAAACATACCTTACTTAACTATAACTTATATTGCTTATATACTATATCTTATGTGGGGACACAGGTTATGTTAAAAATATTCATATTCAGGTATATTGTAAACATCCATACATCTAATAAAAATTGTATTTACTGCACATTTTTTATAAATAATAGTGCATTAGGGT